ACATAAAGACTTCGCTCGAACCTTTTCCGTTCGGCGTTCGAATCCCCTGTTTCCCCGCCCCCAAATATAACCTTGACCTCCATTCGAGGTTTCTTTCCGGGCCCCCCGAACCCTCTGGTTCATCCCTGGGGGGAATATATACGTCATTCTGAGGCTGGGCATCACGTTGGGCATCCCGTCGCCAGCTATTGGGTTTTCTGATCGGTTTCAAAGTGCCTACCGCACTTGGATCCTTATTCACATACTTTCCCAGATGACCCCGCCGGATCAAGTCCTCAATGGCCATTTGTAGTGCCCTACAGGCATTGGTGGCATGACCTTTCCTGTTATGATATTTACAAAAAGCAGACTCGTCTGCTCCCATGAATTGTGAAGAATCAGTCGGAAGGGGAATATTGTCCTTCTCGTTCTGATAAATGGTTGCCACGGACAGGACCAGGGGAGTAAATCTCCCTTGCTTGAGAGGTATAGCGGCCACTGGGCTAGGACCCAGCCGATCGGCCATCTTGATTGGGGCAGTAGGCGCAACGACCTTGTCCCTGATCATTATCTCTTCTTCCAGGGCAGCATGCTTGCAAGCTCTGTCTAATACCTCGGCATATGCTGTACCTGGATTCTTCTTCAAATCATTGTATAACTCTCCCGTTCAGAGAGCGTTCGTGAATAGGGTGATGGCGGTATCATCCGTCATATTTCCCACTGACAGAGTTTCATCCCTCCATCTTTTTAAGAATTGATTGAGGGTTTCCTTGGAGTTCTACTTCACGCTGGTCAGGTAGCTGAAATGCCATTTCGGATTGGCACTGGAAGCAAATTGGGCCAAGAATAACGTCGATAATTCGGCGAAACTATTGATCGACCCGGGTTGCAGTGTCCCGAACCACTCCTGGGCGGGTCCTCTGAGCGTACTAAAAAACAACCGGCAAATAGCAGCCTCGGGTGCTCCTAGTAGCATGAGTCCTCCTTGATAACTCCTCAAATGCACATGGGGATCTCCCACCCCATCATAAATTTGACCGGTCGGTGGTTCTGCACCTCCTTGGATGTCCGCATACATAATTTCCATGGTGAAAGGGGAAGTAATCTCGAGCTGAATTGGGGCAGGTTGTACAGGCGCCATGTTCATCTGATCTCGCATCTCGTTCATCTGCCTCCTCATTTCAGCCATTTCTTCTTCCTGGGCCGTCAAAGGGGGCGGTGGTGGAGCCCTCAAATCAGTATACTCCCGGTCCCCTACCTTTGAGCGGCCCCGGTATTATCTCGGTCACTGGGAGTATGATGCGCTGTTGGTGGAGCGTCACGGCGATTATCCCGATGGGCATGCGAGCGGGATGACGCTGTGGTCGTTTCTGTGCGTGGAGTTTCCCCTGTAAAATTGGATCCTCCTTCTTCCTCGTTTGCCATGTGCTGCATGACCTGGGCCATATCTCGCATGGCCTGAGGATTCCTTCGTAGAGCTTCAGGAATAACAAAGTCCCCATCAAAATGAGGATATGATCCTCGGCTGGATTGTCCGTGAGGGGTTTGATTTCCCGGGGTGTGACTGCTTTCGTGACGGCGTGAACCATCGTTTGTGTGATAGGAACTGATTCTGACCATTTTCGAAAATAGTTGTTTTAGGATAATTGAATGTGAAACTTTTTGAATGTTTCCCACAGACGGCGTCAATGTTGAAGGTAAGTCTCGTAGATCCGAAAGCCCAACATGAACTTTGGATATATCAGGAATGGTCCAGAACCAAAGTGTATAACCAAATATAAAATATGAACTCACTAATACTCAAAAGCCCACTTGTATTAATTAACCTGTCTGATTACAAGGAAATTCCCGATCGGTAGGTCGGAATAATGCTTTAATACAAGAAACAAGAGTAATAATGATATTCTAGAGCCTGAGTATTGAAATGCTAACCCTTACAATGATTTTAAACCTTCTATTTATACTAATGGAGAGCATGGGCTGCTCTATGCTAATTGGCTGTTGTTCCACCGACTTGATCATCCATGTTTCCACTTGCTGATGTCACAATCTGGCATTAATTGCACCTGGCCACTTGCTGGTTGTCCGTTGCTCGAACGGGATGTTGGACCATGCTGAAGACGCTGCCAAATTGGCCCAAGTATGATATATAGTCCGAACTCCATTCGGTACACCTTCTTTCTGGGCCGGCCTTTACTGGGATTGAACCTCGTTCGGTATGAATTCTTCACTGGATCTACTCATCATAGGGTAGTGGACTCATTGTTTGGGCCGGGTATCCTGGGCCTGTTTGATCCGGGTATTGGGCCCTCGGGTCAATAACCCAACATGAGTATAACGTCCAAAATGAATGAGCACACCGAAATACGTTTTTAAATTTTTTGATACTCATTTTGTAAGTTATGTATGCTCATTTGGTAGTAATGGTATGCTCATTTTAAAATGTCATATCAATAATGCATATTTTAAAATTATTATACTACATTAAATTCGCATATTGTTTTAAATTGAAATCGATTATAGACATAATTTCAGAATTTTTTTTAAACAAATACGGAGTAAAAAATCTACATTAGAAGATTTGAAGTAGATTTCACGATACTCATTTTTAGGATCATATTACTCGAAAGAATAGAGATGATGCTCACCAAACTTGCATTAATGCTCATTCCAAACAAATCACGATTTTCATCAAAATTACAAAATTGTCACCGAATTTTTTTGGACTGTATTAATAGTTGGGCTTGTCTTTGTTACTTGGGCCGGGTGTACGTACACCCGGATGCACCTGCACCATATACGTACTGAGAAAAAACAGAGCATGGGAGCAATTGAGCATATGATGGGAACCAATCGTACACATCCAAAAATGCAGAAAAAACACCATCCCTCTTTTTTTGGAAGAGGGAACTTAGATTGATATAACAAAATAAAAATTCTGAAAAGGGTTAAAACGATAAAAGTAAACAGTATGATAAAAGAAAATAAAAACAAAAACAGCAATAAAGTAAAAAAATCACCATCCCTCTTTAAAAATTATCTCTTTTAACAACTCAATCTATTCTTAACTTCGAAAGATAAGACCAAGGCAAGAAGATTAAAAATCCAAAAATGATGTTTGTACACACTCTTATACACACTTTTGTACACACTTATGTCTGTGAAAGCTTTTTTTGTCTGTGAACATCGATTCACAGACAATGTTTTGCACAAACAAAATAATTGTCTGTGAACCGGATTCACAGACAAAAAAAAGTTTCACAAACATGGTGTGTATAAGGTGTGTTCAAGGGTGTGTACATCAAGAATGGTTGTTAAAAATCAGCGATATTCCTTTCTGTTCGAACTAGATCGATCGAAATTCAAAGCTTCAGATCGAAGACGGAACGACGACCAAAAGCTCGCTTAATTCTTGATGAAGTCGAAAACTCCGAAGACGTCGGGCTAAGCAGGGGCGGATGTATGCTAGGCCAGGGGTGGGCTTCAGCCCAGCCCAATTTTTTTTAAATAGTATTGGTAAATTTTCAAATCTCAGCCCAGCCTAAATTATTTGTCAGCCCACCCCACAAATAATTTGTGAATCAGTGAAGTTATGAACTTCTGCCGTGAATTTGTAAACTGTGATTAACCGATTGTGTATTAAACTATTAATGTATTAATTATTATTATTTTTAGCATTTTAGAGTTTTAGGGCTAGGGAATCATACAATCATTTTGATTATTAATTGAATTTTTCAGTACATAATTAAATAGTTTTATTTTTTATATATAAGTATTTTAATATATACCAATATTGAAAATGTTTTTTAGAATGGATAATGAACATGTTGCCAAGAAGGGAAAGAAGTTGATTTCATCATTCTTTTCGAAAGTGATTCGTCAAACTGGTGAAAGGAGTTCTGAACCTATACCTACAACAGTGCAAGATCTAGTCAATGAGGATCCTCCACATGCTGTAGTCCCTGAAATCCAAACTATCTCAAATTTGGATTTCAATGCTCGATAGACGTGCTCGAATGTAGAAGTTTAGACTATTCTCGTTAATAGATCCATGTTCAAATTATTCAATAAGTATTCAAATTTTTATTAATCATTAATAAATTTATAAAAATTGCACTAAAACGTTTAAATTTTATGATATGTACAATAATATAATTTATATGTGAACGATAGGCTCGTGTTCGGATCGAAACATCACTATGTTCGATCTCGGCTTGAATAATTATTCAAACTCAAAACCTACTCCGTGTTCGAGTTCGAAACTTGTTAAACTCAATTCATTAAATTAGATTCGAAATCAAGCTCGAACTCGAGTATATAATTCAAAAAAATCTTTGTTCGATAACAACCCTGGGCTAAATTTGGTATGTATAGTAAAAAAAATTACTTCTGCTTAGTCCACCCCATCTCTGGATCCTGGATCCGCCCCAGAGGCTAAGCATGGCAGAATGATCTTTTTGCAAAAACTTCATAAAATAGAGAGCACGATCGTCGACCGAAATACATAGTTTTAATTTTGTTTCAATAACATGTTTTTAAATGGATATGTAATAATTTGTTCATCCAGAGATGACAATATCACATAAACAAAAATGATGATCTACCGATTCATTATAATAGTCTATTTAATCATAAATGTTGATTTCAAAAGTCAAACCAGAAAATTTTTAGAAAAAATGGCCTCTATATCACAACTAGAATATTCATTTCCAAAATACTCCCTCCCTCCCAATTTGATTTGCAAAATTTCCTTTTTTGATTGTCCCAAAATGGTTTTCCACTTTCTATTTTAGGTGTGTAAATAAGAATAAAGGTAAAAATTTACTCTTACTTTTACTTTTTCCCCATTAACTTAAAGGCATCTATTTTTAGAAAGATGGACAAAAGTGTAAAAAGCTAGCATCATTTATTGTCTTTTCTTAATCCTTGTGCCGGTCAAAGTTTGCAATTCAATTCAGGAGGGAGTATGACATTTTTTATATTTTCAAAAAATATGAAAATATAAAAAATTCACTCCGTCGTTCCATCTCCCCCAGCGAAAGTCGTTCCATCTCCCCCAGCGAAAGTCGTCCATCTTCTTCACTCCCATCAAAGCATTATTGAACCAGAGGCGAACCATCCACCGAACTCGGAACTCCACAACATCTCCGTCACCTGTCCCTGCAACGCCGCAATCTCCACTAGGCCAGCCAAACCTTGAGTCGTCGTGACCTCGTTCCCAACCCTCCTTCCATTCCAGAAGCTGGAAGAACAGATCTGTTCGGCTTTCCATTCGATTCGTTGATGTCCTCGTTCGATTTGTCCTTCATTGTCTTCGTCCTCCCTCTTCTTCCCCTTCTTTATTCTCGTTCAACGACGGTATGACTAGAGGCTGGCGTCTAGGTTTTGGGATGCGGCGGAGGCAGGGGATGGGATCTAGGAGGCTGGGAAGCTGGGAGTCTGGGAGGGATCTGAGGATAGGAGGGGGTGACTGCAGGGGTTTGGGGATGGGGAGGGGGTAGGGGAGCAGAGGACGAGGCTGGGCAGTTGGGGAAGGGACCGACTTTAGTGGTATCCTGCGGTGGCCGGACGTTGTGGTCTCCAGCGATGGTCGAAGGGTGCTGGTTATGGGGGCTGTGTTAGGGAAAGGGAGGGGATGGGACTGAGGATGGTGCAGGGTTGGGGCAGCGTGTGGTTGGGCTGGGGATGGGGTGTACTGGACCTGAGGTTCGGTGGGGCTGGGGTGCGGTGGCTGGCCGGAGTGGTGGTCGAGATGTGGTGGGGAGGGCGCAGGCATGGGGCATTCGGCGACGTCCCTGGAGTTGTACAGGGGCTACAAACCTTGAGATGGTGGTTGGGGCGGGTTGGTGCAGTGACTGTGGTAAGGGGTGGGGCAGTGACGGTGCGGGTTGGGATCTGGTGTGTAAGCTAGCGGCATGGCTAGGGGCTGGGGGGCTGGCTGGGGATCTGGTGGTTAAGGCTGGAAAACTGTGGACGGAGTGTGGGTGGAGGTTGTGACTTGTGAATGGGGTAGGGGTGATGGCGGTGGACGGGGCAGCGGTGGTGGTTAGGGACAAGCAGAGACGGCTTGGGCTTGTAGGGACATTGATGAGGCGGCGATGGACTGAGTTACTTCCGGCGGGCGATGTTGCTGAAAATCGGATTAGTCACTATTACCGAACCAAGCCACTGAGCTTAGCAAGGTGATCACTATGGCCGGAGCAATTCATTGAGCGTCGGTCACTATGGCCGGCGCAAGTCACTGAGCGATGGTCATTATGGTCGGAGCAAGTCACTTAACAGTGGTCACTATGGCCGGAGCAGGTCACTGAGCGGTGGTGCGGCAAGACTGCTGGCGGCACCAATGGTAACAGTGGTATGGATGGCCAGAGAAACTCTTTCATATTTTTTAGTATTTAAACTCTTTCCTTGATGTGTAATGGACTGTGGGCTGCCGTGTAACTGGATTGACGTGTAACGGATGGAAGTCATATTTTTGGACTCTTGAAATTTAGCCCATTTTATTGGTCATCCTTAAATTAATAGTAATATTTGAATAAAAAAGGCCAAATTTTTATACCCAAAATCCAAATTAAATAGTTTAATTTGAGTTTTTCGAAAGGTGTGTACCCGAAATCATAATTTATTACTTTTTTATTTCCAGGTACTTCCGGGAGCGGAGCCAAACTTATTTCAGAAGAAGTTATATACTGAGTAGTTATTATATACTCCGTTTTTAAAAAAATATTATACGGAGTAGTTATTAGACTTATTACATACTTTATAATTTTTATTTTACATTTTAAAATACTTTTTTATTTTATATTGTAATTATTTCAGAAGAAGATTCACATATTTTTTAAAATATTATAGTTATTTAAAAATATTATACTTATTACATATTTTAAAATATTTTTATATTTTATTTTTTAATCATTTCAAATTATTATGGAGTAAATATTATAGTTATTAAATATATTAAAATATTTCTAATTTTATTTCTTATTTATTTCATAAGAAGTTTATTAGTTATTAATTGAGTGTCTCAAATCAACATATTTCATAAAAAAGATTACATTAATATTTTTTTTTAATACGAGGTGGGATAGAGACTAATATGAAATTTACTTTTTTTTTGTTTTATTTTGTTTTTTATATTAAATTATAAATATAAATTATTTTTAAATTAGAAATCGCAAATTAAGTTTTTATAAGTTTAATTAGCTTTTTGGTTTAGATTGAATATCTCAAATTAAATTATTATATTTTTTGTAATTAAATAATATATCTTTAAAGGAATGACTAGTACTCCATCCGTCCTTTAAAATTTTGCCAAATTTGATCGGCACATAGAATAATAAAGTGAAAACTGTGTGATTGAGACATTCTAAAAAGGGAAAATGATAAAGTTTTAAAGAACATAGGGATACGCGAGAATTTGGTAGCTCAATCCTGAACATACACAAGCGTTATTCAGTGAGTGCGTATACCGTGGAATATTATTTTATCTTTTTTAAAGAATGATTAAAACTTTTTTATTTTTGATCCAATTTTTATAAAATTTATATCAACATTTTTTATTTTTCATGATCTTTCAAATGACACCAATATTGCCTTTGTAATTTTAACATATTAACATTTGCGTGTAAAATATGTAACTTTACGTGTTAAAATATGTAACTCACGTTCGGTCAGGCCAAATGCAACTCGTGTGTATAAATATGTATCTCTACGTGTAACAATATGTAACTTTACGTAAAAAAATATGTAACTCGCGTTCAGACAGGTCAAATGCAACTCGTGTGTTTAAATATGTAACTCGCGTGTATAAATATGTAACTTTACGTGTAAAAATATGTAACTTTACGTGTAAATATATGTAAGTCGCGTTCAGGCATGTCAAATGCAACTCGTGTGTATATATATGTAACTCGCTTATAAAAAGATGTAACTTACTTATAAAAAGATGTAACTCACTCATAAAAAGATGTAACTCAATGTATTATCAAATGTAACTGAGACCACTGATCCACTCCCAAACAGATTCGATCTTCTATTTCACAAACCTATCATCTCCCAAACAGATTCGATTTTCCTTATAATCCAATACTCATTAATATAATAGTTCGATAATTTCTTTAAATTACATAAGCAATATTGGTCATTATGTCAAAAATCAGGTGATAACATCGCCAAGGACCACAAAACTATTAAACAAAATTCATATAATGGGGTAGTAGCGTTTTTACACCAAACGCCATTTTTTTCTAATGGCAAACACTGCATTTTACAGCGTGTTGCTTCTCAACTGCCAAAATACAAATACCCCTAATGTCATTAGGATCGGTTTGTCTCTGATATCCTTGTTGAGAAATTTATGTGACGTACCTCGAAAGTGCAACAACTGAAGTTTAAAATTTCTCCGAACATATCTTTTATGATTATGACAAAACAATGAATAAGAATAATAACATATTTGAGTTAGAATTTATAGATCTTTCAGCCTAGCGGCGATAATCCACATGATTTTTTCTTTTCCGAAAGAACGATTAGATCCCCCAAAGAGAAAGACTAAGAAGTCTCTTTGCAGAAAATAAGTGGTAATATTGAATCTGAAAAACGGGAGTATCAATTATGAAGGTGTGGGGGTGTGTTTATACTAGTTCTAAACTAGTTTCCCAATCACAATGAAAGTCTTGCTTGATCTAAAAGGTGGAATCTCCCACCCCAGGAGCCCCCCACCCCGACCCGACAGGATGGTGGAGAAATTAATCACGGTGACTCAGTCAACAAAGCGGTGGTAGGCCTTATACACGTGCGCACCAGAGGTTCAGCCTTATTTCAGATTCTGTAGCCTTATTTCGGACATTTTCGGACATTTATTAGGACTATTATTTCGGATATTAGGACATTTTCGGAGATTTTCGGACATTTATTAGGACTATTATTTCGCCCCCTTCATGTTTAACTTCCAAAAAGTTTAACATGTTTAATTTTTAAAAAAAATCCTATTTAATAATAAACTGTATAAGTTTTTTTGGAACGTATAATAAACACAAAGTGTTTTTATAAATTAATACAAAAAACATAAAAAGTTAACAAACTGTTTTGATAAAACAAATATGAAAATAACTGATTTTATAAGTTTAATATAAAATAAACTGATTTTATAATAAATACATACTATTTTTCAAAATTAATTTACAAAATTAAATAATTTATAATAAACTGTTAATAAACTATTTTTTATAAATTTATACAAAAAATACAAAAAGTTAACAAACTGTTTTTATGAATTAATATAAAAACTGATTTTATAATTTTGATAAAATAAATACGCAAATAACTGATTTTTTAAAGTTTAATATAAAATAAACTGATTTTATAATAAGATTATACTGTTTTTCAAAATTAATTTACAAAACTAAAAAATTTAAGAAACTGTATATTTCATTTCCTGTTTTTTGAAATTAATAAACTGTTTAATAAATATACAAAACAAAAAAATAATAATAAATTGTTAATAAAGTGTTTATTATAAATTAATACAACATATATAAAAAGTTAATACAACAACTTAATAAATTGTTTTTTATAAAATGTACACTACATTGATTAACACTAATACAAAAAAATAATAATACATAAACACACAAAAATTTAATAAGTACTTTTATAAAAAGTACAATGAGAAAAATGAGAAGTACAACAAACTTTTTTTAAAAAATTATAAACTTTTCCAATGCCATTTATGAGCAAACTAATAAAATATTTCAACTTTAAAAATATAATATTTATTATTAGTACAAAAACTGTTTTTTCTGAGTTTTTTTTCTAATTAATGCTAATTAATTAATTAATTACAAATAATGTTGGGTTAAAAGTATTTACGGATCTATAAGTCGCCCAACCGTTGGGCGACTTTCCATTAAGTAAAAATAGCGACCAGCCACAAACCAGAACACTGCGAATGAAACCCAACCCCCAAATCCCCCAAGCAGCAGCTACGAAAGACGAAGGACGAAGGACGACCGAGCCATTTCCATATCCGGTGAACTTCCATATCCGGTGACCCCACTCCGGCAAACCTCCATCTTCAACACTCTTTCTTCTTAGGTAAATCAAACTCCATTTCATCTCATTTTTAACTTAGGGTTTTGAATGTTGAATTTTTGGAATTTTTAGATTATGAAATGTTCAAATTTGATTTGAAATTGATTTTGACATGTATATATTTTGACATTTGGGCATTTGGGTGGATTTGAATGTAGCTAAATTTGGGCATTGAAATGTAGACTTGAATGTATATATCAAAATTTGGGTATTTTCATATTGAAATGTGAGTTGTTTGTGAATCTTGACTTTTGGATATATTTGAATTGTTATTAGAATATGGATTTCTCAAGCTTCCCAATTGTGTGTCATTGGGGAGGGAACTATTATGAGGATGTTGGTCAAATATGCCATGAAGGTGGTACAACCACATTTGTCATGGTTTGTCGTGGTGCTTGCATGCTCGAGATCCTTCAAAAAATACATACAGCCACAATGATTCATCCTAGCCGTTCTTTGCGTTTGAAAATGAAATTTCCCATGAATGGGGGAAAGTACATGCTTATGCCCCTCAGTGATGAGCTAGCTATAACAAATATGTGGGCCATAGTTCATATGGAGGACATGTCAATGCTTGAGATATACATTGAGGAATCCATATGTGACGCTTATCGTACTCCATCAACATCAAATGTTGTTGTATCTAGTCATTATGTCAATGCAGGTGTGAATGCTGGGAACTCCTCAAATGCTCCTGTAATGGACATGGTTATACAGGAAGATGGTTGGTATTTGCACAACGGTGCATCATTTGTGGATGGGCAGGGAAGTGATGATGATGCTGATGACAACATCAATGGTGAAGATATGACAGAATCTGATGAAGATGATGGTGATACGGTCACGACAACTGCCCCGTCTACCCACTTTACTAGAATGTATGATCTCCCTGAAGGCTTTACTGATACGTGGCTGAGTGGATCAGGTGAGAAAAGGTTTACCCCCGAAGGTGAGTTTGAGGTCGGTCAACAATTTGACAACAAAGAACAAGTCATCAATATGGTGAGCTTGTATTCTATCAAACGGAACCAATTTTTTCGGGTGATAGAGTCCGATAAACACAAATGGGTGGCACAATGCAAAAGGAAGAAAGAATGTAATTGCCCCTGGAGAATACGCGCCACAAAGAACAAAGGCAACCTTGACACCTTCACAGGCTATGTATCCGCCATCTTGCACCGAATGTGCACACTCATTTCAAAGACATTCATCTAAAAAATCTTTTTGTGGATAAGTTTTTCTCATCTGACCAATACGCGGCCACATATCATAGAGTCTTCATACCCATTCCTGATCGTGATTATTGGCCTACTTACAATGGACCTGAAATCGTGCACGATTCATCCATGCTTCGGGCTAAGGGAAGACCTAAGTCCACACGTATTAAGAATGAGATGGATGAAGGTCCCCGATGAACGATTAGATGTGGAAAATGCCACCAAACCGGCCATAATAGAGCCACATGTGCGAAGAGATCATCAAGACACGATGGGGGGTCCAGTGGGTAAGGTGTTAATTATAGTAATTCACATTAATAAAATTGATGATAAAAAAAAAGAATTAGTATAATAGTAAAAATTAACTAATACGATTTTGTTTGTTTGTAGGCATGTGGGTGACAGCGGATCCTAGGCCGAGTGATCAAGATGACCATGACAACTTCTACTTTGTCTTTTGTATTGCAGTTTTTCTTGTACAACATTTTAGATAATTTACAACATTTTAGATGTTGTAGGAACAATTTACAAAATGTTACGTATTTTCTCTTGTATGTTGTATTTATGTGTTCGAGTATGAATATTAGATGATTAATTGTTATGAATGTTTGATGATTGTACTGTGTTTTATCGGTGAGTTGTATGTGTTTATGTATGTGTTTGTGAACATGTGTGTTGTATGTTTTATAATGTGTTGCATCTCGCTCGTAACACTTAAACAGGAGAAGGGAGATCTTATTTATAGCAAAAAGATGAGTCCGGGCACGATCGTGCGTGGCTAGCAGTAGCTGAGGGCTGCGTTTATATGGAAGGAGAAAGTCGCCCAACGGTTGGGCGACTTTCCCTGACCACGGTTAAACCCAGCAGTAGATCCGTAAATACTTTTAACCCAACATTATTTTCGTAATTAATTAATTAATTAGCATTAATTCAAAAAAAAACTCATTTTTTCTAAAATAATAGTAAAATTAATACAAAAAATTAATAAACTGTTTTTACACATTTTAATAAACCCAAAAAACTTATTGGGAACTCCTCATCTAAAACTTATACACAGTTTACTATTATATATATATATTTTAAAAATCAAACCTTCTAAAATATTTGCCCCCTCATGTAAAACTTACCAAAAAGTTGAACATGTTACATTTGTGTGCAATTAATACAAAAATGTATTGTTTCAAAATTATAAAAATATTAATTTTAAAAATTTAGACCCCCTCATATTAAACTCACACACAGTTTAATATGATACTCCTATATTATTTCCAAAAATAATCTGTTTTAGTAAAACTTCTAAATTGATAAAATGTTCTATTATTATCATCCTTATAATATCTCAAAATATACCTAAATCGTTTTAGATGAGTGAACAAGGTCGTTGTTCCACCTCTTCCCGTCGTGGTGGCTCCAACTCACGACGCAACTCGAATGCGAACGTTGATGTCAATGCTGATATCAATGATGATGAGGGACATGTCCAAACACCTCCGTCCCAACATTTTGATGCCGGTGCAAGCACCTCGCGTGGCGAAGCATCAACCTCCCGCGGAGGTTCATCTCGCCCTGTATATGCCCCCAACTGCAGCCGAGCGCAACAATCCCAATGTGCTTTGGGTGACACCTCTATCGGTTCATATGTAATTAATTACTAACTCTCTCTAATTAGAAAGAACAAAATTCATATTTCTGTAATTTGGCATAAATATTTTTATCAATTATGAATTTTATGAAGCGATAATGACGTGTTGCAAAGAATCAAAAATATAGTTTCCGGCCATTACACTGGACCTTGGGCGACCTACTTGGAGGTTCCGGCCGCCACCCGAGAGCTTTGGTGGCAGATGTTCAAGGTAAAAAAAAATGATTTTTCTCACATTTTAGTAACTTAAATTTAACAAATGATATATCAATTTTTTAATGAAGGCCCAACATCGATGGAATCCATCGCTAGACGCCACTATTCTCAAAGAATATAATTCCAGAATCTCGGGGTGGTTGAGACCCGCATTCAGGACTGCCTGAAGTACCGGTAAAAAGCCGAGATTCCTTGACGATGATGTTTGGAAGGGTCTCGTTCATCATTGGTCTACGGATCCGGAATTTTTGAAGAAAAGCCAATCCGGTAAGGCAAACCGGAACTCCGAGAGAGCCAAGGAGACACAATGGCACGAGGACCACAAACCTCAGGATAAACATAAAAAAGATCTCGTAAATTCTACTTCGTGAAAATTATTTCCATTACATCCCCTCATATGTATATATATTTCTTTTTAAATAACTTGAAATCCGTGTAGGAAGGGACCGACCGGACCCGTGAAAAAGAGGGTGTCACCATGGCAACTCATCACACATTGTTGAGATCCGCACGGGGTTCAGTCGCCGCCGCCACCTCTCCTCTCTGAAATTGAAGTAAATAATGCAACTCCAATTATTCAATAAATTCCATTTTTTTATCTTGATTATAATAAAATTTTGAACTTGTAGAGGAAGTATGAGGAAGAGCGAGGAAAGAAAGTCGATGAGAGTGGTAACTGGGATGTATTACCATCAATCTGGTTTTTCATGAACACATGAAACATGTTAAAACAGATTGTTATTTTGTCCGAGAAAGAGTTTCCAATAATTAGATTCAACCGCAAACTATCTCCACAAGCAATCAGGTGGCAGATATATTCACAAAATCACTTGGTGCCAAACGTTTTCAATTCCATCACAACAAGTTGAGTATTCATAACATTCACACTTCAATTTAAGGGGGAGTATTTGGATATGTAATATTTATGTACTCCTTCTGCCCCAAATTTAGAGGTGGACTCGAGCCGGGTGGCCCGACCCGGAACCGGCCCGGGACCGGTACTGTTCCGGCCCGGCCTGGCCCGGTGGCTCGGCCAGGGACCGGTCCGGGTAGGCCCGGCCCGGTGGTTTTATGGTGCGGGCTCGGGTCCGCCAAATGATGAACCGGCTCGGCCGGGCCGGGCCCGGTTCTGGGCCTTTTTTGTTTTTTCATTTTTTTATTTTTCAGGGTTGGGCTGGGTGTTTTGGGCCATTTGGGGTGGTGAGGGGGGGGGGGGTATTAGGGGATTAATTAGAAAAAATAGGAGTGGCCCGAGGCCCGGCCCGGCCCGGACTTGGACCGGACTCGGTGGCTACCTGGGCCGGTCCCGGGCCCAACAATTCTGAACCAGCGGCCCGCCCGGGCCTAGGCCCGACCCGGCCCCGGCCCGGCCCGAGTCCACCCATACCCAAATTATTTTGCAAAGTCAACATTTTTTGGTCAACTAATAATTAAAGTCAATGCTCAATATTGATAATTAATTCAATTTTTAATAATTAAAATTTACATATTCAGAAACTACATTAAAATCTCTTCAAAGTAGTAAACTCGAAATTAGAATATAATTAAAAATTGAAATCCTAATTAAGCAAACAAAATAAAACTGTTTAACAAAAAAAGTCAAATTTGAAAATTAATTTAGGACGGAGGAAGTAATAAATACTTCCTCCGGTCCCAAAAGAAGTTCACTCCCGGTTTACGATGCTTGACTGACGATAAAATAACTCGATCCCTGTTCACGCTAGGATTATTTTTAGTAAATAAAAATTACATATTCAGAAACTACATTAAAACCGCTACAAAGTCTGATCAAGAAAATTTAAATTTGATAAAAATTTGATATATAAAGAAAAAGATTTAGAGTAATTTAACTTGACTAATGAATAGTGAGTGTGAATTTGTTTTGGTATGGGAGGTAGTATTAAAAAAAAGCTCTCCCACTCCACTAGCACTAGAGCCCATTTATGTATAAGTTGGCATGGCCCCATCAAGTATGATTGACATACTCCTTGTAATAAATACTCATGCGTAGCTCTCATAATAGCAAGTTTGAGAACTGGAATATTCTGCTACTCGTATTATCAAAAGCTTTAAATTATGAGTATCAATTTCATCACAAAACGACTGGCCTAAAAGCTTCCGTTTTGTATTTATATATTCCCACTCCGTAGTTGCAGGATATCTTCATCTTTGTATATATCAGCCTTGCAGCGCAATAAGCTGCGCATTGTAGCTCTCTTTCAGACAAACGGGCGCCGTATAAGGTGCGAATTCGAGCTGTCAGTGGGTTTCTCGAGTCTGGCTGGTTTAGATTCGCTGGGTTTAAATAACAGCTGCAGAGGCGTCGGAAGAAGAAGACGGTGATGGGTATCAGAGATGAAGGTGGTATGCGTGGTTCTGGGAGCTCCCATGGCGACGGCGAGGTGGCTATTGAAATTCCAGAGACTGCTCATCAAGTCAGCAATGGTGGGTGATCTTCATTTCTACTTTTTCATTCTATTGGTCTTTCGGTTATGAAATTCTTGTCCTTTCAAGCGTATACCAAGTGAATTCCTTAAATAGGACCAAAATATAGATAAAGTGCATAATGGGACCATCGTTGTTTTTTCATAAAATAAGACTGATAGACTCCTAATTGATGAAGTTTTATTCTTTTAATAGGATCACATAAGTCCTATTTATGCACTTTAATGAAGTTTTATTCCTGTTTAGAACAATTACTAATTTATAGCATGCCTAGAAGCTTATGATGAACGGTGATAGTTGATTTGACACACTTTTCACAGTATCTGATAATTTCATATGTTCAAGTTTGCCCTGTTTACCCTATATGTTTTATGATCTGTTTGTTTCGGAAATTTGTGCTCTTAAAATTCATTCACCAGTTCAGGAGATCTGGACAGGGCACCACTCTATATGAGTATTCTATAAACAGTAATTATAGGATACAAGTCTCGGGAAGTTTCTAGTGTGTTTGCAAATTTTATTTCTTTGTCAATTCTTTCAGTAATTTATTATCACAAAGCGTATATGATCACCTCAGCTTTTGATGAAGATAGCTATGAATTGTTAAATTACACTCATCGAGAATTGTCCGAGTTTTAAGTTCAAACTGATAATACAACTAAGCTGTTTATTATTTAAAATCTGATCACAGTTATTTTAATTATTTTTTCCAAGAAAAAGCCTACCAGATGATATTAGCATATTGAGTTTGCCTATGAACGACATAAATATCAAACATTTTAACTTTTTTTCACGCGTTAGTGCAAAATTTTATTACTTGTTTCAAATTCTGTTTACTTGTTTTTCTTCTTTTGTGGGTTTTTGCCCAAAAATCAGATTCATGGTTTCAAGTTGGAGTTGTTCTAAGTACCGGAATCAACAGTGCGTATGCTCTAGGGTATTCTGGAACTATTATGGTCCCACTAGGTTGGGTAGGCGGTGTGGTTGGGTTGATCCTATCCACCGCTATATCGCTATATGCTAGTACGCTAATAGCTAAGCTTCATGAACTTGGAGGAAAGAGGCATATCAGATATAGAGACCTTGCAGGCTTTATATATGGTATGTGGTAATATGTATAATAATAACCCCATTTGGCATGATTGATCAGATTATTATGCTTATCAGCACAACAAGCAGAATAATCAGAACAAGTGGCTAGCCTTTGACTTTTTTCTGTTGGTGAAATGAGATGTTGATTGTTGCAGGTCCAACTGCTTATTCACTTATTTGGGCATTGCAGTCTGCAAATCTATTCTTGATTAACACTGGGTATGTTATTCTTGGTGGCCAGGCCTTAAAGGTAAGATATACCCCGCCAAAAAAAAGAATAATAATCAATTTTTTATTATTAGAAACATGCAAATAATACTCCCTCCTTCCTTATTTAAAATTCCCACTTCCGTTTGCACACATATTAAGGAAATGACACTGTTTGACACCGTTTTGACACTATTTGACACTACTTTTGCACTGTTTTGTTTACCAAATAAGGAAAGGGGCCTTTTTTAAGGGACGGCCCGAAAAGAAAAGTGAGACTTTTAAATAGGGACGGAGGGAGTATTAGAAAGGGTAAGGCTAAGGAAGATGTCCAAGCAAAGTCAAAATCATTCTTCAAGAGAATGATCAACCCCCCCACAAATAAATAAGTACATGTCTGAAATAGATGGAACACAGAGGAAGAATAACTTGAGCGAGAAGTATGAGAATATGATAAAGAAAAAGGAAACAAAGTAATCCTCTAAAGCCTTGTTTTGGATCTCAATCTCAACCATCACATAATACACCCACATTTGGAATTAAAATTCGTGGGCATTTTGAACTTGACACCATGGGTAATGAGGTTTGCAATTCCGGGAATGGGGTGAATTTCCATCTTCTAAAATGTGGTTTTATCTAAAATTTGAGTAATTCAAATTTCAAATACTGACCCCAACCACCAAATCAATCCAACTAAGATGAATAGGTTTTTCATTGCCTATTTCCATGACAACTTTTTTGACGCATAATTCTAAGCATCCATTTGGTTGGCAAAAGTGAATGTGGTAAATTTTATGTGTTCTCTTAAATAGGCTTTATCAGAACAAATCCCAGAACAGTATACCAAACGGGCCTTCATAATATTGATGTCCAAACCTTTTGATTTATCTAAGTATAAGTAGATGAATTAGTAGGTGGCCTTCCCTGACATTTGTTTTGATTCCGTACACTTTTGTTCAATATGATTTCCAGGCCTTCTTTGTTCTCTTTAGAGATGACCATGTGATGAAGCTTCCTTACTTCATTATAATAGCTGGAGTGGCATGTCTCCTCTTCGCCGTTGCTATACCTAATTTATCAGCACTTAGGATCTGGCTTGGGGTTTCAGCTTTTCTTAGTTTGGTCTACCTTCTTGCCACGTTTGTACTGTCTATCAAAGATGGTATGGACCCCGTTTTTCTTTGAAAACTTTCAAAACCATTAGTTGGAAGCATGTTTGTTTTTAGAAAGCTCTACCTTTCTGTGTACTGGATTGGCATATTGTATGGATAAGTTTATACACAAGTTGTTTGTATTTTTATCTTTAATACTGTAGTAATAAAATTAAGTTAAAAAAATAATATTTATACCAAACATTGTTCATAGAAGTCCATATCTTTAGTTTGTCTTTATTTTTTTATTCTTGGATCTGATACTATAGCAATTCCTTCAGCATTTTTTAAAATTTGTGCAATCTTTTCTTTAATTTTATAGGTGTAAATGCTCCTCCTAGAGACTATAACATCCCGGGAACAAAAATTGGCAAAATATTTACAACTATTGGTGCAGCTAGCAACGTAGTGTTTGCTTTTAATTCAGGAATGATTCCAGAGATACAAGTTAGCTTTCATGCGCCTCTTTTATTTAGATTATATATTTATATTAAGTTTAATATACAAAGTCAGGGAAAATAAACAATGCAGGTTCTTTTGCACAACATGCAAAGAATTATGGAAACTTTTGCCTTCAGGAAAATGTTTTACACTCCCAATCCCACAGCAACTAAGTAAGGGCCGCAAGGAATTTTCACTTGCTTAGTACTTGAGGCTTTGTTTGGTCAAGGGGACAAATGAATAAGTGGGAAAGAAAGGCGATAGAGTTTGAGAGAAATAAAAAGTGGAAGAAAGAAATGTCTGAGGAAAGGAGTTGATTTTGTATAAAGTTTTATCCCTATTTCTTCACACTATAGAAGAGCTATCAAAAGCCAAAAGTTAGGTGGACCCGTTTTATTTATTGCTTTGTTCCTTATTTATCCCCAAACCAAAATATCATTTTTTCCCTCTCCTCACTTCTTTTTATGTATTCTTCCTTTCTTTCTTCCCGGTTTCTCTTCAAGCATTTCAGTCAATAGTTTATCTTGAGTATCATCATCATCATCATCATTGTTATAGCTATTAATATTATAATTATTATAATTACTACAATTATTACTAACTTTTGCGGGGGTGACAGGCTACTGTTAAAGAACCTACGGTGAAGAACATGATGAAAGCACTTTACTTTCAGTTCACAGTAGGAGTGATGCCAATGCTTGCTGTTACATTCATGGGGTATTGGGCTTATGGCTCCAGCTCATCGGCCTATTTGCTAAATAACGTCCACGGCCCAGTTTGGTTAAAGGCATTTGCTAACATATGTGCTTTCTTGCAAGCTATCATCTCTTTGCATGTAAGTGTGATCATCTCTGCTTAGTTATTTTGCAGTTTTTTTTTTGCTCTATCTTTTTTAGATACTTCCTCCGTATTTAAATGATCATTACATTAGGTCTTGGCACAATATTTAAGGAGGGAATAATATGGGTAATGAATAGTGTAGAAAAGTAGGAGAGAAGGTGAAAATGTAGGAAGTAGAAGATAAAAAGTAGGAAAAGTAAGAGTAATGTTTTCAAAGGAAAAACTTACCAAAAAGGGAAAGTGTAACAAACTTTTAAATACATCCAAATAGGAAAGTGTAGCAAACTTTTAAATACGGAGGGAGTATATCTCTATCTTCTTACATACATGCCCATTTGGTAGAAGACTTTTATGTTTATCAGCCAAATTCTATACCAACCACTAAATTAGGGCCTGTGTGGAAAGAGTTATTGAGTTAAAATGACTGAATTTGCTAAAGGAAATGTGTGCTGATATCCATTTTAACAAAATAAGCAAGTCAAAGACTACTGAGGATACCAAACAAATCACTATGGCGTCTGAATCGGCTGTAATAGAAAGCAGTGTTGTACTGATTACTGCTTTGGCTGGAAGAAAAAATGACACTTTCATCCTTATTTTTAGATACTTCTTATGCTATTAATATTTGCTTTATTTTCCTTTAGGGGAAGTATTTTATTATCTGTTCCACTTCTCTAATGTGCCAAGTTTTATTGTACGAAACAAGTACTCTCTTACCTTTTCATCTTCTCTTTCATGATTTTTCTACTAATTATACTTTGTCATCTTGTCTCCCCTACTATCCACAACCGTACAATGTAAAAGGCGGAGGAGTATGATTTACTTTATTTATTGGGAAAATTGTCAAATAAATCCTCTTACTATATCGAAAATGTCAATTCAGTCCTTCTACTATCAAAACACTCATCAAACCCTCCAACTATTAAAAAACTTCCAATCCGACTTTTAGCCAGTTACTGACGTGGCCAATTATGTTTGTTTATATTTCCTTTTCTTGAAATATTTCATGACATGTCGGTCATGTCATCAATACTACTGACAGTTTTCCCCTATATTTACATAGGTATCCTGATTTGTTTTTACATTATCAAGTCTATTCAACCAATTCAACGGAAACTTTACTCGCTGAATTTTCCACCAAACTCTGCACTAGATACAACAAATAAATCATGTCTTAAATTTTTGTGTTGAAATGATTCGAATGAAGAAAAATGATACTTTGACCCTTATTTTCTTTTAGGCTTTCAAAAATATACTTAATAGATTTAATGATTTTTTTATACGAACTGGTTCATTACGTCAATTGGATCACAATTTCAGACACTTCAGCCATATTTTGCCAACAGGATCTCACACATGTTACCTCATCACTCCTTTACATGCATCCACTATAGATATTTGCAAGCCCGACATACGAATATTTGGACACAAAATATGGGATAAAAGGAAGCGCGTTCATCCCGCGCAACCTGGGATTCAGAACTTTGGTCAGGGGCGGCTATTTAGTCCTCACCACATTCCTTGCATCTCTACTGCCTTTCCTCGGGGACTTCATGAGCCTTACAGGGGCCACCAGTGTGTTTCCCCTCACATTCATTCTCACAAACCACATGTACATGGTTGCTAAAAGAAGCCGGCTGTCTTCCTTGGAGAAGAGCTGGCATTGGTTGAATGTTGTCTTCTTTGGTTGCTTTTCTGCTGCTGCTTTTGTTGCTGCCCTAAGATTAATTATAGTCGACTCTAATACGTACCATGTTTTCGCTGATTTGATGTATTATTTCTTGTAGCATTTTCTTTTGGGGTTAGCTTCAATCCTGAAGACAATGTATGAGTGTATTATAATCTGTATAGACAGAAACATATGGGTGACAAAAAAACAGTTAGAAGGTGATACTTTTTAGCAGAGTTTGTGATACTTTTTTCAATGGACGCTCTAAAAAGTATTAGTTTATCACAGATATTGTTAAAAGTGCTTGGACGAAATGATTTCATAAGAGGGACCAGCTACTTAAGAGTGGGTTTGGTTAGGGATTTCGGAGGAATGATAAATGGAGGATTAATTTTTATTTTACTATATTTTCTCTTTACCTAGACGGAAAATAACAATATTTTTGTAGATCTTCTACCTTTGTTTTCAAGAATTTAACTATAAAATTAATGTATGAAGTAAAAATTGTTCATCCTCTTCTCTCTTCTCCAAAACCCTCCCACCAAACTACAGCTCAGGGTGGATGAAGCCTTGAAGTACCCCAAGTCCCCAATGTCTACTTCACTCTATAGATATAAGGAAAACATGGAATATTGTTGCAACACGAATCTTCACATATGAATTAATAAGAGTGGTTATTATTGTGTACATTTTGTTTTATTTTAACTTCAGAAACTTTTGCTAGTCATTTGTTAACCAATACTCTTTAAAGTAATTATCCTCATGGGGAGTAAAATATGGTCCTATTTTCCCTAAATAGGTGTTCATGTTTAATATTCCCTTAATAAATAGGACCAAATCCTACCCTTTTACCCTTAATATAATTAATTGACCCCTAATTCACCCCATCACAAGTGCACAACCAGGGCAATTCAGTGGTGGCAAAAGCTCGACGAAGACGATTGGTGGCGGTTTGGTAGCCTGGTGTCAGCTCTGGCAGGCCAGTGGCTCGCACACCAACCCCTGTAGGCTAGAAGCATTTTGTCACAATAAGAAACTCATATTTAAGATATGTTTATTATCAACTATTAATATGCAATGTGAAGGTTACATCCTTACTCGTAAAACAAAAAGAAACCATTTTGCATGTCTAGACATTTTCAATTTATTATGTTTTGAATTTAATTGTTTGTGTAAATAGATAAAATATTGGCGTTTATAAAAACATATGCAAATGGCAAGGCGGCCGTGGTCTAGGGTTACTCCTAGTGGTTATTCCGGCGATGCGTCTCGCATGCCGGTCGACGAAGATTGAGCGGTACACAATATCCATACGATGAGTGCACTAAGTTGGAATTGCAGATGGCTAAATAATCCGGCCGCAATCCGGTGCTTAACCGACATATTGCACGCTCACAGGCCATCTATCGTCTTCCTGAAGGAGACAAAAGTGCGTTGCTTAAGGGCGCAAGAGATATTGCATCATCGTTGGTATTCACAGAGCTCTGGGACGGACACTGATGGGGAAAGCAGTGGTCTCGTGATAGCATGGAGCGATGATGTTGAGCTTAACGTGGTGGGCAGCAGTCCGAATCACATTGAGTGCAAGGTTAGGCTATCGACATAGGAGCGCAGTGGTGGAGGCTAACTGGTTTCTACGGCTTCTTAGAGACAAGAAGGCGTCGAGAGGCCTGGGAACTCTTACGGAATTTGGCAGAGGAGCAGAGTCTTCATTGGTTACTATTTGGGGATTGCAATGATATTTTGTATGAGTCCGAGAAGAAAGGACGAATTCCGCACCCGACCTGGAGATTGCTGGGTTTTTGTGAGGCTGGTTTTGCTAGTGGGCTTAGAGATTTTCCATTCGATGGATATCAATGGACGTGAGAAAGAGGCAGAGGTTCAAATTTTCGGGTGGAAGAAAAGTTGGACCGAATTCTTGTGAATGATGACTAGTGGAACATGTTTATGTCATCCCATGCTATGTTGGTGGAGGCTCATGCTAGCTATCATATGGCCTTATGAATAAAAATCCTACCAACTTCACCGCATCAATGCCGAAAGGGGTTTAAATTTGAAAATGGTTTGCTAAGTCAGGAGGATTGTCGTACGGTAGTCACAAATAGTTGGGGGGCTAGCACCCACTTGTCTATTAGCGATATAATTTCTTTATGCGGAAAGGAGCTTCTCAGATGGGACAGTGGGAGAAGAGAAGGATTTAAACATCAAATCCAAGCTTGTAAAAGAAGAATAAAGTGGCTACTGGATAAAATTGATAGCAGAAGCGTGGCAGAGTTTCTGCGTGTGAGATCGGTTCTAGTAACGTTGATGGAAAAGGAAAACCTCTTCTGTAAGCAACGTGCTAAGGAATTTTGGTTAAAAGAAGGAGACATAAAATCTCGATTCTTTCATAACGTAGTCAAACAACGAAGAAGGAAAACTAAGGTGACCGGCATCATGCTAGCCAACGGGACGTGGGCCACACAAAGGCAAAACATGGGGCAGACCAATCTTGAGTATTACAGTAACTTATTCCAGGCCGGGGCAAAAAGAGACATACCGGAGGAGATGGGGAACGTGACAAGGGTCACCGAATCACATAATAGGAGGTTGCTTAGACCGATATGTCAAGAGGAAGTTAGATCGGCAATTTTTGGGATGCTTCCGATGAAATCACCTGGGTCAGATGCTATGAATCCAACATTTTTTTCTGGGACATTGTGGGCCCCGAGCCCCCGAGGTATCTAGACTATGTGTCTCCATATATTTATATAGGTTCTCTTCCTTCGAATTTAAATATTACTAATATTGTTTTAATTCCGAAGGAGAAACCAGTCATTATGGGAGCTCGAGACCAATAGCTTTGTGCAATGTGGTTTATAAATTTTTTTCAAAGGTCTTAGCTAGCCGGCTGAAGGAAATATTGGGTTCTCTCATTGGGGAAAATCAAAGTGCATTTATTCCAGGAAAGTCTATAGTTGATAATATTATTGTGGCATTCGAAACCCAACATTTCTTAAAACGGAAGTGTTATGGTAAAGAGGGTTTTGTTACTCTTAAGCTGGATATGAGCAAGGCCTACGACACGGTTAATTGGTTCTTTCTTAAAGATATCATGCTTAGAAGGGGATTTGAGGAAAGATGGGTGAATATTATCATGCAGTGTGTGTCCAACGTGAGCAATTATGTGAAATTTGATGGGGATTATTTGGGGCCAATTCATCCAGGTAGAGGACTCCGTCAAGGCGATCCTTTATCCCCGTATCGGTTATTCTTGTAGCTGATGGACTGAGTGCTAAGGGGACATCCATGGTGTTACGGTTTGTGGGGGTGCACCGAAAGTCACTCATCTGCTTTTTGCGGATGATAGTTTTCTTTTCTTTAAAGCTTCTAATAATGAATGCAGTGCAGTCAAAAATATATCGCAAGTGTCCGAAAGTTGCTCTGGATAAGCTGTGAATTTTAACAAGCCTACTTTATCTTTTAGCCAGAATGTGGGGGAAACCTTTAGAGAGTACTGCAGCCAGAGCCTCGCTGTGCCAAAAGATAGCGGACATAATCAGGATCTTGGTCTATCGGCCCTTGTTCGAAGAGGTAAAACTGCTATTCTTGGATATTTACGAGACTGATTACTACTCGAATTAAAAATTGGAATAATAGATTCCTATCAAGAGCGGGGCGAGCCGTTCACTTTGAAATGTTATTCAGGCAATGACCATGTATGCGATGAATCTGTTTCTTCTTTCAAGGGAATTGTGTGATGAAGTGGAGAAATTAATGAACGGGTTCTGGTGGAAGGGGTCCAAATTTGACCAGAAAGAGTTAAGGTGGAGGCGGTGGGAGTTGTTATATAAGCCAAAAAGTGTAGGGGCACTGGGGTTCAGAAGACTTAGAGAGTTTAATTTGACTATGCTAGCCAAACAGGGTTGGAAGTCAATAACGGATATTGAGAGTTTGATGGGGTGGGTACTTGATGCTCGCTACTTCTCAAATACTAGCTTCTTGCAAGCAAAAGTGGGAATACTTCATCTTTTATTTGGCGAAACATATGAGAGACTCAATTGGTGCTTGAAAGGAATGCTAGATGAAGAGTTGGCAATGGCAGGGATATACAAGTATGAGCTGACGCTTGGCTACCTAGACCAGGTACAGGGAGGATTCAATCTCAGAGATCGACAGCAATTTTTAACATGAATGTTGCTGCTCTGCGGGACTACTCAGGGAAAATTGGGAAGAGGGAGAGAATCTTATCCATATTCAATAAGGAGGATAGCGATCGGATATTGAGTATCCCAATTAGTCTTCATGATAGACGGGGGGGGGGGGGGGGGGGGGGGCATTGCTGGACAGGGGAAAAAGATGGGCGTTTCTCGGTCAAGAGCTACTACCGTGCGTTGGCGAATTGCCCGGATAATGGGGGCTGGTCTGGATGGGCAGCTCTGTGGGAGCTGAATATTCTCCCAAAGATCAAATATATGGTTTGGCAGGTGCTCGATGAGTCTTTACCTTCGCTGGAGAATTTATACAGACGTGGGGTGAAGTTACCAACGGATTGCAAACTGTGCGGTGAAGCTCTGGAATCCACGGATCACGCTCTCAGGTCTTGTGAGAGACCCCGCAAGGTTTGGAAGTCGGTTGGAATTGAGTTGGGCAACCAGGATGAGTTGTTGGATGAATGGCTCCATAAACACATAGAGGGCCGTGCAAGGAAGGGAGGAGTAGATTTGTTATGTTACTATGGAGCATATGGAAGACGCGTAATAGCCTAGTTTGGAAGGACGAGTGGCTTGATTCGGCGGCAGTAATAAATGGGGCGGCAGGGATGCTGTCTTCTTGGAGAGAGGCTCAAGGTATGGGAGCTAAACTGAAAACAGGGAATGTAGGAAGATGCTATGTGGGTCCGACCTAGGCGTGGAGCGATCAAAATTAATATTGACACTGCTATTAATATGCCAGGGAAGATTAGAGATTGGGGATGGATAGCACGGAAGGATGAAGGAGAATTTCTTAAAGCGGGTGGAGGATTTAAGAAGGCAAGGTGGTCACCGGCGGAAACTGAAGCAATCAACATTAGAGAGGCCATTGGAATAGCTAGCAATGAAGGATAGAATGAGGTGATTATCGAGATAGAAGCCCACGCAGTCGTACAGGTGATTAAGAGAGGGGATGTCAATTCCCACACAGATTCGGCTGTTACTTCTAACAAATAGAAATATTAGTATCTCTTTTTGTAAACGGTCCGCGAATCGTGCAACCCATGCTTTAGCTCGGGCTCATGTGTTTATCTCAGATCAGAGTAGTAGTTTTATAATTATTCCTGATTATCTTGTAAGTCAGGTGGCTAACGATATGATTTTATGATAGTAATGTCAGACTTTCGTTAAAAAAAACACATGCAATACTGTGAACCAAAAGGAATTTTCCAAACTAAAATAGTAAAATCCAAAACCTACAAATCGCATGTCAAACTTTACGGAACTATGAACTACTCCATGCCCCCTGCTGAAGTTTCTAAATTCATAAGGCACCTGTAGGCTGTAACTTCTTTACTGGCCCTTCCACTTTAGTGTACTTCTAGTTTGAGATGGATCCAAATATGACTGGAACATGATGAAAGTGTAAAAATGAGACCACGATTTTCCATGTCATCTGCTAGGAGTAAAAATGGAAATGGATGCTAAAAATGGCGTAATTTAATCTGGATCGTCATGACATTATATTGCCATTATAGATCATATTGGCAAATGGCAAGAATGCCCTTATTTTAAAAAGTATTTTGGTATGAAATTAGAAATATGAACTTTGAACAATTAAGGGTATGTTTCAATATAATCACAAGTACTTATTTTTTATGTTGATTTGAATAAAACATAAAAGTTCACTCTTTGTTCATGTACCATCTCTGTCTCTTTTTAAATATACAAACAACGAAACAACTATCAATAAGATTAGTCTAACTCATTTAACCTCTTATTTTTCATCAATTTGACATATTCTAATTTGACTTTTGCATTATAATAGTGAACTTGGGTGTATTTGCAATCATAATACTACGTAATTAATAATAATATGTGAACATTGAGGGGAACTTCTTATATGTTCATTATAATGTGTATAATTCCACAATAAGCCTCCACTTTGATCTAGTAAGAGATTAACCATTCGTTAAAGAACTCAAATCACTTCAAAGGACAAAATAGATATAACATATTCAATTACAAATCCGTATTATAAACTATTTCGGTGTTCAATTTGTCTTTGATTCTTTACTTGTAGCAAATCAAGGACCCAACTTCTTGATCATTATATTGTACCAGGCTAGCCTCAATAAAAATTTGACAAGGATGGCAAGAAAAAAACCGTAGATGACAAGAACAATTATATAATTTGTTCTCAGACTAGACGAAGTCACAGTCATACAAATCGGATCTCAACACTTCTAACAAGCAAACAAACCAATACAGGAAGTAAAAGACACGTGATATGTTGACGCAGTTCGGAAGAAAATTTCAAAATCTGCGGGGTTTCAATAGGGGAAACCCGGTCCCAAACAGATCCACTAGCTCAGAAACGTTTTTACAATCAAGATGGTTGCAAAGTAATTACACTACGACCGGTATCAACATGCAATTTACAAACAAACGACTCATAACGAATAAAACAAGAGAAAATTCAGAGTTAACCGAAATCGATTCCTATAAAGGATTCGAATGCAGAAGAAGACTCCCGGATGAACCAGTGAGTGACTTCAAACGAACAGGTTCCCTCCTTCCTCACAATAGTCACAAGGGGATGTCATCAACTGCAGCAGTTCACCGACCTCAATCGACTCTCTCTCTCTCTCTCTCAGATTTCTCTCTAGGATTTGAAGTATGCAGCGGAACAGTGCAGAAGGGAGGACGAAGGATATATTTATAACCTTCCACTTGGGCAGATGAGCTAACCAAAAGCCGGACCCAAAAAATAGACCCAAAACAAGAGGCTTAACCAGTCAAGCCCAAGGCACAAAGAATCAACCCAAGAAGAAATAAATCCAAATCTAATTACTTTGTCATCCTATCTTAATTGTAACTAAAAGAACATATGAGAGAATTAGGATTAAATAATAATCCAACATAAATAAGTTTATTAGTTTCATTACAAACTAAATTGAATTACAATACAGTGCCTCCACACATGTTCATAATCATTAATTATTGTAAGGATTAGCCTAATAACCGTAGTAGTAAGAAGGCGCTTGATAGGAAGTGTATGGATTAAAAGTGATTGTCCCGTATTGGGGTGTTGGAGTATCATTCCTTTTGTATTCTTTCTTCTTTTCTTCAACCACGGGGGCCATGGTCTCTATATTAGCTTGTCCAAGTTTCCTTCTCAGCTCGACGGCCAGCGCCACGGCATCAAACTCGCCGACCACCTCTATCCGCCCCTTCTCTGGGTCCACAGACGTTGAAACAACTCCTGGAGAGGAAAGTATTTGGAAAGCATGAGTACAAAACCGCCCATCCCATATACGATAGTATATAGATAGAGAGCTAATTTTGTACGTACCGGAGTGGTCAACGACAATTTTGTGGGCTTTGACTTTAGCCTTCTCATCCCTCATAGTGATGCTAAATACTACCTTTTGCTGCCAATTATAAAAACATTCATCAATTCAAACGGAAATTCAGAAACCCAAGAGTACAAACATAGTTCTAATTTGCAGTTTTACTGCTTGGAACTTACAGCAAGATAGAAGAGATTATATCTATACATACCTTCCCCATTTATTTCTGGATGGTTTTCAATTTCGTTAGCTGAGCTTTGAAACTGAATACGAAGAACAGAGACTAGAGGGAGGCTTAGCTGAGCTTTGAAGATGAATGAGTGAGTAGGAACAGAGTCTGGCCTGAAACTGCGTTTGGGTTGACATATATATAGAGAGAGGTTATACTATATAGTTTGGTTAGGTTATTGGGCTGAGCTTTCTCTTTCTCTGGACTTCCAAGAAATTAAATCAACCGAGTTTTGAAACGTGTTTATAGTACGGAGTATCAACCAATCATTCTATGGAGTTAAAGCCAAGTCATTTCCGGCCATAACCGGCCAACTCAACTGTACTTGCAACAATATTTTTTTATTTGGGAAAAGTTGCAACAAAATATTTAAAGCCTGTTTGATATAATTTTTATTTTCAGTTTTATCTCAGAATTTTTTTTATCGAACACATAATTTTTTATTTCACGTGTTGTGTGATGATCAAGATAAATAAGATTGGAGTTACTTTTTTGCTTGAATTGATTGAAGTTATTATACAAGATCATTTTAATTGTTGTACATGCATTTTTTCTCAATTTTATCAATAAAATACATTTTAAATTTTTTTCACAATTCAACAGATACATGCAATTTTAGAGTCCATTTCGTAACACTGAAATTGGCAGAATCGGCTAAATTTGCTGAAATCGATGATGTTCTAGTTAAATTGGATGAATCTACTAAATTATTGGAAATATATATTTTAAAGAAAATCAAGAAAAAATTATATGGAAAAATAGGTAAAGTAATCTGATATCGTACCTTCCGCTAATTCAGTCAGAAAAGTTTCTTCAACCTTATTTATTTTAATTAGGGAAAAGAGTCAAATAAGCCCTCGAACTAACCTAAAAAGTGCAAATCACCCTTATATAAGAGGCTATGTCCGGCTGTCACCATTTGAGAAGGTTCTCGGTGGATTTTTTTGATGAATTTTTTTGAGCATTTTCTTTATTAAGTCTAGTTTACCCATACCAAATTTCAGATAAAAATTCAACCGGAAAGAAAGTCAAATTATTTTCTGAAATGTATTGCGTTGTTTGACTGCGCAGTTATCTTCAAAAATTCGTTTGATTGCCTTTTCCGATTGAATTTTTAGTTGAAATTTGGTGTGAGTAAACTAGACTTAATGAAGAAGATGCTCAAAACATTTCATCGAACAATTCCACTGGGAACTGCCCCTAAAGGCGACGCCGGACAGAGCCTTCTATATAAGGGGTGATTTGCACTTTTTAAGTTAGTTCGATGACCTATTTGACCCTTTTCCCTTTTAATTATTATACAATCTAGTGCGCAGAATAAAAAGTTACTTGTTTAGTGGAAAAAATTGGCTGAATCGTCTTATTATGATGAAATTGAATAAGTTCTAGGTTAAGTGGTTGGATTTTCTGAGTTATGAAAAAAAATATTTAAAATATATTAGGAGATTTCCCAAAATAGGAGTAAATGGAGTTTGAAATTCTAAAATAGGACTACTATGTTTTTATTCCCGAAATAGGACTAACGTGACAGTACTTACTGTCCTCTTGTAGGCGTGACTGTCACTTAATTGCAGTACTTTGCATTTAACATGACAATATTTATTACTCCCTTTGTCCCTTAAAACTTTGTCAACTTTCCTTTTTTGGATGTCTCACTAAGTTTGTCACTTTCCCTTTTAAGTAAAAAATTTGTGGTTCGAGTTAATTCTTTCTCCTCTCCACAAAGATCAATCACACAATTTACTTTATTAATCTTCGTACCGGTCCAACTTGGCAAAGTTCTAAGGGACGAAGGTAGTATAACTAATGACAGTATTTTTTAATTATGACAATATTTTTCATTCATGACAGTAAAAACTCCTATTTCTGGAAGAAAAACATAGTACAATTTTGGAATTCCAAACCTCATTTACTCCTATTTAGGGTAATTTCCCAAATATTTTATTAACAAAAAAAATATAGTTAAAATGATCCACTAAAGTAACTTCATACAATTCAGCTAGTAAATTAAATTTAACCTTACTTATTGTGATTAATATAAAATTCAGCTCGCAAAATCAAAAGTTACGTGTTAAGTGAAACATTTGGTTGATAACCCTAGTTTGTCAAGTTCTCAAAGTTCATCATTTTCTTGGGTGCTCATTTCTGGATGCACAACTGGGTAATAATCCCCCATATATTTTGCGTAGTAGTTAGGAGACTCAACCAGTTATCCAAAAAAATGATAGGAGAATAGTCAGAGATGATGGAGACATTCAAGTGTGGGGTGATTCATGGTTACCGAGACCGGGAACAGGGAGAATACAGCTAGCCTGACCACCTGAAATCCGTAATATGAATGTCGCAGCTTTAAGAGATCGGAGGAGGATGTCAAACCCTAAAATAAACCTAGGATTGGGGCGCTTTTCTCACAAGAGGGTAGCAGGCTCATCTTAAGTATTCTCATTACCATACAGGACAGGAAGGATTATTTTTGGGTGAAGTTGAGAGAAGAATCACCTCTTTGATGTGTGTTTTCTCGTAGTTTAAATGCGTGTGACAGTACATGGTTTAAGACCGAGTATCATCTCTACAAGGACATAAAAGGGAAATTAATTATTAAATAAATTCAGTGATTAAAATAAATAAATTCAATGCGATTCTGTGATACAGATTATTGAAATTAAATTGTTACGAAAATAGAACTAAAATTAAGTGACTCATTCGAATTAATGATAGGAAGAAATCCGACATTGATTTCGGGGCAATAAGAATTCACGGTTGATCGGACTTAATCACATGAAAAATATTTAATTGAGCAACGCTAATCAATACTAAATTCTTACTGCTAGCGGCGTAGTGTACAACGATTTAGAGAGGCAGGCAGGTCTCTTATGCGACAAGCTTCTAACGGCGCTAATCTCTTAGCGAGTAGTAAGGTGTGAGCGATAGTAATCTAGATCAATTTAGATCTCTCTTAAATTATTATAGTCCTATCGGACGTTCCACGTTCAAAAAATATAAAAATTAAATTGTTCACACACAAATTAAATAATGATCATGCAATTAATCCATGAAGAACGAACAATATATCATGATTTACGCCCCTTCATCAATCCCTAATTAAATTTAGTCACAATTCATAATTGTATTAACATCAGAATTAAGAAAGTAAGAATGGATTATCATTAATTGAAAGAGGGAAAGAACTCACAAAGAATCCTTGAATTTAGAAATTCCAATGTTGAAAAACAATGAAAATCTTGTCTTAGACTTGTCTCAAAACTCAGTATACAACGGGTTTACGGGTTGTTTAAATAGCAAAAAGCGAAAAAGGAGGCGAAATTAGCCACGGATGATTGCGTGCATGGTGTGTGCACGATCGTCTGCGCAATCGAGAAATCCCGTGAAAACCCCGCGCACGGCGTGCGGCCATCGTTCGCACGTTCGTGTACATGCACCTGTCTAAGAGCAGCGGTGCGGCGCTCTCGGCATGCGCTGATGCGCGCGATGTGTGTACCCAGTGCGCACCTCCCTGCTGTCCAATATTCCTAGCTGCATATCATAGCCAACTCGCGCACACGTCATGTGCACCCCTTCATTGGTGGTTTCTTCTGTTTTCTGCTCCTTGAGTCTGAGTTTTGTCCCGTGTTTGATACTTGAACTCTTTCTTCTTCAAATTCAACTTCTTTGAGTGTCGTAGATCATCTTTGCTTTTTAATATCAATACAAATCAATCCACACCAATGCACCATTCATATGGACGGGGTGGAGGTACGTATCCAAGCAAGGGGGCCACGCCCTCCTCCCCAACTTTTATTTTTTTAGTTATTAGTATTATGTATTTTTTTATCCCCCTCCCCCAAATCTTTTACGTAGTATTTGTTAGGACTATTATATTAGTCATTCTAGTAGTTAGTACAATATATACCATCAGGAAACAGAAGGCAAGCTCATGGGGACCAACGTCCCCACCTCTTGGCGTGCCATTAATGTGTGGTCGTGCCATTAAAGACTACATATTACCTACTTATTATCTTTATAGATTTGAAGCATACATTACAGACAAGGTCAAGAATAAACAAAACGAACAAGCATTTTTTTGTGTTCACCTTTAACAATTTTTATCATATTATACATTGGTTACAGTATAGTATGTTGTTGTTACTTGGGCCCTAAAGTAATATGGAAGCAAATATAAAGCCCAAAAGAATCTAGTATTAATTAAAAAATTCTTCGAGGGACATTCGATGCATCCGCAAGAGCTATTAGAATAGAGAGGGCCCCACTCAGCCCACTCAGTAAGATATGTGCTTAAGGTTTTTCTTATAAATATCAAATTTCGAAAATGGTTAAGATTGTTGTCAAAATTAGAATTTAAAAGAGAATTGTGTTGATTGTGAATGAAGCTATATATTGAAATGAGACAAAACTGCAAGCTAACCCATTTCAACTCATTTAGTATTGTATTAAGATTGTCATTTTTTCTCAATTAATTCACGTGTTGCGATTAATTTGGCCCACACATGTTGCAGGCTAGCCAATATAAAAACTTCTAATTTGGACTATCACTCACTTGAATATCGATCTTCTACTATCAATTTCCATTTGCAATTACATACTTATTATTTTACAACAATTGTTAAATTATTATATCTATCATAACTCAAATAAACTATTCAAACGTAGTTTGTATTTTATAGTAAACGATAATTTTTTAGCAGTTAGTAGTCATGGTTTACCAAAATCTACTCAAAAGGTCAATGTATATCCTTATTTATGTATATTGATATTGAATACTTTTGTTGGATATCATCTTATAATATCAAATCTAATGTGATTTAAAGATATTTCTAATATAACTTATCAAGTACGGCATTCTTAGTATTTTGATTTCTTATGTTTCTTTTTATTACTACTTACTTATATGAACAAATACTTCAGGTAATTATTTTCAAGGTATTTTGTCATTGTATGTTTTTACTCTTATTTACGGGCTAGCCCGCGATACCCACATATTGGATGGATTGGTACACGATTGTAGAAAACTTTGGCCCGCCACCGGACAATTGTTCCAATTTGACCCATGAAAAGCATAGCCAACCACAAATTAGATCTGGACAGTGTGGGACGGGGCCCGTTGACCGGTGATACTTTTTGTGTGAAATTATGTCAAATATAAATATTACGGAGTATATGAAAATGTTATATGTTAAAAGAATTTCCAAAAAAGTACTCGTA